TACTCCACTCTGCAACCCTCATTCCGGACTCTTACGATAATCATAATGCCCTAAACTATTCTCTCCCTCATCTGCTTCAATGCAGTAAACATAATTTATCCAGTTTTTCTCAGTCTTACCCCCACCCTGATGTCAGCCTCATTCTACAACATTGGCACCATATAATATTTGTCCTTTTGTGACTGAGATATTTCACTGGGCATAATGTCCTCCAGGGTCACCCATTTTGAATAATATTGCATGAGTTCTTTGTTTTTCAATACAGCGTAGTATTACATTGTATCAATATACCACAGCTTCTCTATCCATTCATTTGTTGATGGGCACTTAGGCTGTTTCCAACTCCTTGCTGTTGTGAACAAAGCTGCGATAAACATGGATGTGCATATATCTGCTTGGATGTTGTTTATGGTCTCTTTAGGGTATATTCCCAGTAGTGGAATTGCTGGGTCAAATGGTATCTCTATTTTCAACTTTTCGAGAAAGTGCCACACCGCTCTCCACAGTGGTTGCACCATTTTACACTCCCACCAACGGTGAATAAGGGTTCCAGTCTCTCCACAACCTTGCCAGCATTTGTTGCTTGCTGTTCTGTTAAATTTTGCTGCTCTTACTGGGGTGAGATGATATCTCATAGTTGTCTTGATTTGCATCTCTCTCAGGGCTAAGGATCTTGAACATTTCTTCATGTGCTTGTTGACCATCTGAATGTCTTTGGTGAAGTGTCTGTTCATATCCTGTGCCCTTTTGTCTATTGGGTTATTTACCTTCATCTTATTGTGGTGTTCAAGTATTTTATAAATTTTATATATAAGTCGCTTCTCTAACATGTCAACCAAATATTTTTCCCCAATCTGTGGCTTCCCTTTTTATCCTATTGGAGAACTTTTTGCATGTGCACAGAGATTTGATTCTTAGAAGTTCCCATTCATCTATTTTATCCTTTCCTGGTTGTAGATTTTCCAGGATGCTGGGAAGACTGTTTATGTTGTGGATGTATTAAAAGAAAATTACAAAACATTAAACAAAAAGAGACCTGGAGGAGTAGAAGAATATCCCTTGCTCATGGATAGGAAGACTCAATATTGTGAAAAGACACTATTACCAAAGGCAATGCAATCCCAATACAAATACTAATTCCATTCTTCAATGATATAGAAAAGGCAATCTCCAATTTAATTTGGAATAGAAAGATTCTACTACACTGCCATGGTGGTCAAGACAGCATGGTACTGGTACAATGACAGCCACATAGATCAATGGAATCCAGAAATCAGCCTATCTACCTATTGCCACCTGATTTTTGATAAGGAGATGGAATCAATTAAGTGGGGAAACGACAGCCTTTTTAACAAATGGTGCCAGCAAAATTGGAAAACTATCTGCAGAAAACTCAAGCAAGATCCACACCTCACTCCTTACAAAAAAAACAACTCAAAATGGATCATGAACTTAGGAATAAAACCAAAGACTATAAACTTCATTAAAGAAAAGTTTGAAAGAACTCAAGAAGTTTTGTTTTTTTGATGTTGAGATACAATCTATTTTAGTTCTATTAGGTGCAAGTTATGTTAGTTTATACTAAATTATGCTGTGTCAGACATCTCTACAGTGATTAGAAGTCATAGAAAGAGACTAGGGATGATAGAAAGAGAATTGATGCCTTTGAGTTGTGGTGTTGGAGAAGGTACTGAATATGCCATGGACTGCTAGGAGAACAAACAGATTCATCCTAGAGAGAGTAAAACCAGGCTGCTCCTTGGAGTCAAGGATTCTGAGGCTTCATCTGATATACTGTGGGAATGTTGCAAGGAGGGACTAATCCTTGGAGAGGGATATTATGCTTGGGAGGATGGAGGGAAAGTGCAAGAGAGGAAAACCGTCGATGAGACAGATTGATTCAGTAACTGCGGTAGTGGGAGTAGGTGTGTCAGTGACAATGGCACTGGATAGAGCAGGGCTTAGGGCTATTGTACACAGGACAGCTATGATTCGCAAGTGACTTGACCGCACATAACAACAACAGTAAGTTATATTTGAAAAGCAATAATGTCAGTGTAGAGGTTAAGATGCAACTAATCCAGGTCATGGTTTTCGGAGTTACTTGCTGTCATTAGACAGCTGAACAGCGACTAAGGATGACAGAAAAAGAATAAATGCAAATTTGGAGATTGTTAAGAAAAAAACGAAATGCGTAAATGTTGACATACCAGTCATTAGCAAAATGGAATGGGTTGGCATGGACATTTTGAATCAGACAATCTACTGATATATTACACTAGAGATGACAGGGTGAGAAAAAAATGGAGTCGCTTTCAGTTAAAAAGATCATTTTTTTTAAAAAGACTATTTCTAGATCCATCTTGAAATAGTGCTGTGAATGGCAGGATAATATCCATACACATACAAGGAAGACTTGTTAATACCACTGTTGTTCAAATCCATGCACCACACATCAAAAATTTTTTTCTACAGAGTGAACAGAAAATCTGTTGACTGGGAGAAAAACATTTGTCAATACCATTTCAGACAAGGGTCTCATATCAGAAGTTTATAGAATCCTACAGGACCTCCACAAGAAAAAGACAGATAACACAATTATAAAATGGGCAAAAGACATAGAAAGAATTTTCACAGAGGACAATGTTCAGATGGCCAAGAGACACATGAAGAAATGCTCCAATACACTGGCAATAAGAGAGATGCAAATCAAACCCACAATAAGATACCATCTCAAGTAATAAATATTACGGAGGATGTGGTGAGCTACAAACTCTTATACATTGTTGATGGGATTTTAAAATGATATAACCATTCTGGAAGGCTGTTTGGCATTTCCTCAGAAAGCTCAACATAGAAATTCCATATGACCCAGCTATTCCACTTCTTCCAGTAGACCCTGAGAAAATGAGAACTGAGACACAAACAGAAACTTATACACCAGTGTTTGTAGCAGCATTGCTCACCATCGTAAGAACATGGAAACAGCCCAGATGTCCAACCACTATCAAATGTATTGAGAAATTACGGTACATTCACACTACTATGCAACATGCAAGAACAGTGATTTTGTAAATCACTACTTAACTTGGGAGAGACTGCAGAGTATTATGCTAAGTGAACTAACTCAGTCCCATAAGGAGAAATAGTATATAAGACCATTATTTTAGAATGTGTATGATGATCCAAAGGGGGGGAGGGTAGGAGCAGAAGGGTGATGAAGGGTGGGGGAGGGGGGAGAATGGTTAATCATAGGGTCACACAATTTGATAGGTGGAGACGGTGGTGGGAAAAGGAAATGGGAAAGGTCTGGTATGGAAAAAAATGTATGCGAACTTTGTAAGTAAACCAGTATAAAATAAAGATTTTTTTTAAATTTAAAAAAACAAAAACAAACCCAAAAAACAATCCAACAAATATATGTATCAACAGCCAGGGCCAAAAAAGGAGGAAAGAGATGACTACTACTAACTTTTGCAGTTGGAAATCTTGCATCCAAGATAATAATGGCTGATTGGAATGCAAAAGTTGAGAACAAGGAAGAAAGATCAGTAGTCAGAAAGTATGGACGTGGTGACAGAATTGAGGCTGGAGACAGAATAATAGAATTCTTTATAATCAATGACCTATTCATTACAAACATATTTTGAATGAATGGTGACTATACACATGAACTTCACATGATAGTGTACAGAGGAAGCAGACTGACTACATCTGTGGGAAAAAAAATCATTGAGGGAAGCTCAGTATTAACTGTGAAAATTAGGCTAGGTGCTGAAGCTAAAGAAAATAAAATCAAATCCACAAGAATTAAAGTTTGAGTCTATCCCACCAGAATTTAAAGACCACCTCAGGAACAGGTTTTGAAGCCTTGAGCACTAATGAGCAAAGACCAGAT